GGGCGAGGTTCTCTGGCCTGAGACACGCAGGAGGCCAGATTAGATGATAATGATATCATAGTCCTCCCTTCTGACTTTAAAGTCTATGAATCAGATGACTGCAGACCAAGCTTATTTTGTAATTCTCTCTAGTGAATAGATAGAAATAAACTTTTGTTTACCATTGTACCTGTTCTTTCCTCACTAACACTCCCCTTTTACTCCTGACAGATTTTCTGTGACTTTCCTTCCTGCCGTAAGGAGGGGCTCTGGTCCACCTGCAACCTTCAGCGGTTTCAGAGAGCAGGAATGACAGACCATACAGCAAAGACCATTTCTACTTCACCCAGGTCCAGCCTGCACAACTGGGCTGCAGGGCACCCACACTGCGGAACAGGGATGAGGATCCCACACTGCTGCAGAGGTCACCGGGACACTCTGGATTCCTTAAAGCCGCCATGAAGTGTTGAAGAGGAGCTGACTTCCAGTGCCCAGGTTTGATTTGGGACCAAAACTTTTCTACTGCTATGAATTACCTAAGACCTAGCTTCTCAGTTCTGCCTTACCAATGCATTACTCAAGTTTGAAACGCCTTGAGAAAAACATGGGACAACAACTAGGATATAAAACTCCAGAATTGCTAACTGGTGGCTGGTATTGGACATGAGAAAGAAAAAAAAAAACCCTGCTTCTGGGGCTCAGTTTAGCCCTTGTGGGTTGGAGTTGGGCAAGAACACATTTTAGGTGCTATTTGCTCACGGTATTCTGGAGTCCCCTCCTCTCTGAAGCAAGGGTTTGAGGTTCCTCTCTGCAGTCTCAGCTGGCTTTGGCAACCTCCCACATACAAATTTTTTCATGTGTCTGGGACCAGGACACCACAAGAAGTTAGTTAATAGTTACACAACATAACTGAAGTGCAATTATGGGTGGAAGGTGGTGATCATCAGCATAGGCTATTTTCCCCCTTGCTCTGGTAATTAACATGGAATATCTTCAGAGTTTGTAGCCTATTTCTGGCAAACACGTTGAACAGATTATACAGCTGCGTAAAGTTGCTTGTTTGAAACCTGCAGAACACCATTCTCACACAGTCATCAGATGGGGACTCAGTATCTAGCCAGCTACAGCTACAGCAAACATTTGTAAGAGAACTACTGCAGACAAGAAATCGGGAAAAGGCTTAAAAAGTTAGTACTTGCCTTCCATTACCTTCAAGAAATATCTGGAGCTGAGCTGTCACCTCCAAGTTTTAAAATAGAGGCAGCAGAACCCCCTTAAACCATGCAATTTACTTTGAAAATAACAACATTCTCAGAATTAATTCCTTGTGCTATTTATCAACTTTCTGGATTTTGAGCAATTAGGGGTCACACATGCATCCTTCTATCTCCAAACACGCAGATGTTCTCAGAAAATAACAACATAGCGATTCCTCAGTATCCCAATAGTCCCAGAGCTTCAGGAGAATGCCAAACAGAACGACCTGCCAGCACATTGAACCAGCGGCCTCAAACGTGGCCTGGCTGCAGCTCTCCTAAGATACAAATCAGAACAGAAACAACAACAGAACTATCAACAACACACCTAAAGTAGCTTTCAGAGAACTTATGTCTGCAGGCTAACCGGCTTTCTGTATATATATACACATACATAGCATAATTATATAATATAGATAGATTTTACTATATATTCTTTTACATTTATAATAGAATATATAGTTTATGATCTATACAAATACATATTTATTATATATGCATTGCTCATATAATTATTCTTATTTTGTGTACAACTCAATATTTAATTTTCATTTGTATAAATAAAAAATTATGCTGGAGATGAATAGTGAAAGGCAGAAATCCAAATCAAGCAGTGAGGTATTTGTGCACACCCCTCAGAACAGATCCCAGTGCTTCCAGCTCTGTGACCATAGCTACAAGAAGGCCTCTCCCTTGCTGCTCTGATATCTAGATATTTGGCCTTTTTTTAAAAGCCGAGAGGCATCTGCTTCAGAATGAATAAATACTTGTGTTGTATCAGCACCAGAGATGCCCTGTGTTCCTTATCTCACAGAATACAGCACAAATGCCAAACGTTCCCACTTCTTTCCACGCTCATTGATCCGAGCTGAGTGACACGGCGATGGATGGTAGGAAGCTCCAAGGCAACGGGCCACTTCACCAGCACCAAATAGAGCATCACACACATTGTGGAACCCCAGCTGCTGTGAAGTGCTTGTTGTTACAGCCGTGTCAACATGCCCACTTTAAATGGGCCATCACTTAACCCAAATTTATTGGCTAGCTGCTGCAGGCTGACGCAGCCCCCCCGCCCCGTGCTGACAAAGATGAAGGTAATATCAAAAGCTTCTTGGTGCCAGAGTTCAAACTAGCACAGGCAACCAAGTGCAGCATCTTCACTGCACTTTGACTGAAAAGCAAATCTTTTTTCAGCTCTGCTGAAAATAAAAATACACCAAGGCTAAAGCAGTTATTTTACTCAGTGTTTGACCACTGAGTAAAAGTTTTCATGCTTTCCTCACCAATAGTTTTTTCTTCTTTGAAACAATACTAAACCTGAGCTACTCTTATAGACCCAATTCTTTACCATCACTATGTAGATCAAAAATTATTTTTGTTAGGTTTTTTAGCAGTGAAAAAAATCTGATTTTTTTTCCCCCTACTTCATCAAAGCTTGACCTTAGAGTCAACATGTTGCCTAACAATGAATGTGACTTCATCATCACGTAGAACATGAGGATACCTCTCTTTTCCTTCATGGAAAAAAATAAATGTTATTCATTGCCTTGATGAAGCCTTCAAAACTCCACTACAGCCAGTCTTTTGAGGAGAGAAATCAAATGCTTGAACAAGTCAGGTTTGAGTAACTGAATTTCTGGAGAGAAGCAGAGAGGAAGGACAGAAGAAAGGGATCATGCATTTTTGTGCACTTCTGCACTGTCAGGGAACGAACAACAGAAAAGCAGCAAGAACTGTAGAACAGTTCCATGGCCACCAGGCCCTCAGCTCCTGCACCTCCACAAACCTTGCCTGATGCCTGCAGGCACCTCAAGGGTAGGTGGGCTGTGAGTCAGTCCCAGGAACGGGAAAAAACAGATGCATTTTGTTCATGTTGCCCTTTTGCAAGCTCCGTATCTAGGAGTAGGATATATAGGAAGACACTATGTATTTCTTACTTCAAGTTCCAGGACCACTAAGGTAGTGTCCCTTATGTTTTAGCCAATAACCCAGCCTTGCCTATATTACTTACTTTTTTACTTTTAAAAATTTATAGGTGATTGGAATGATTTTTTTGAACCTGTTTTGCTACTAAGTATAGCAGTTTGTGACGTTTGAAAAAAGCTTAAGAAGGTTGCATACAAAGCTTTTACTGAAGTATCAACTTCTCTTTTGGCCATTTACAGCAAATGATTCCATATACCATGTACCAGTGATATACAGCAGCACTTTTGCCTTTCATTTCTCTATATGATGCAAAGTTATAAATGAACTGGGCAACCCTCATTTCCCTTGCTCAGGTGGAGACAGTCCCAGTGACAACAGCCACCCTTTGGCAACCCACACCAAAGCAACAGAATAGCCAGCACATAGTGCAGATGAAAATGTTTGCACTTCACCCTAATAGACATGAGCTCATCAGAACAGAACTGATGCCCATGCTGGCATCCAAACAGCTGGCACGCAATGCCAGCTTGCCTACTGTACCTTTCTACCAGTGGTTTCTAGAGTAAGAGGTATAGAAAAGCAGAGCATTCTAAAATAAAAACATCCAGACAGATTTATGGTAACTGTATTATATGAAGAAAGCAAGGTCTCAACTTATCCAAAGTAAATTCTACTTTTCCAGAACTCCTTTGTCTTAAGCACCCAGCCAGTACCTACCATGCTGCTGTTTATGAATCTGCCTCGATGACCAACCCAGCTTCAGTGAAATACTACTATTGTCAGGTCATGTATGGATATGTTTTTTTATAGAAGGGACATATGACCTCAGTGGGGCTTAGGAATTCCATTGTCCCAAACCAGATATTATTTCACACATACAATTATATTCACCATCTGAGAGAAAACAGATTAAATACCTCATATGTCTGAGTTATCATGACACCAGTGAACCAATTTTCCTCCCCAAACTGTGTTGCTACTGACCTTCCTCAGCTTGGGGTGAACAGCTTCCAACATACTGCAGGGGCTTCCTCCTGGAGCTGCATATTTTATCCTTTTTGTGTCCTGATGCGCCAGCTCTTTTTATGCTCTGTGAAAGTCTGCTTTGTCATTCAGGAGCTCTCATCATCCCAACTCTGCATAACAGGGATGGCACCACTCTGCTTTATTTCTCCTGCTTCAGGGGTTATCTAGAATACAACTGAGGAGCAACGAGCTGCAATGCCATGCAGCACGCTTTTCCAGAGTCAGGACGCCATCCGAATAGATCCCTACAAGGTTAGATAAAGGATCCTTAAATGATCAAAATCTGGTGCTGAACCACCCTCTGTCATCTCCTACACTTTCTCTGTGTCACTGCACAGTAAGAGCGCAAAGAAAGCATCCAGCAGCCTGGATCCAAGTTTCAGCACTTGCTGAAACAGAGAAGGGATGCAGAGCTGGACCTGCCTCAGATGAATACACCAGCAAGTTAAGAAAATTTCTGCATGGAAATTCAGAAAGGGCAACCAGTTCCTCCTACAACATACTGAGAACTAACTCGTAGTTCAGTTTAAGCTGATGTGATATGAGAAAACCAGAAATGCTCCAACATTTCACTCAGACAAGTGCACCAACAGGTCCATAGTTGCACTTGGCTCTTACTTTGGGAGCCTGCACATATTAGGGGTGTGTCAAACCCAGGTGTGACTTTTTTGGAATTGGACTAGAACAAAGTGTTAGTCTGCCTAATCCTTGAGCTCTTCTGCTTTGGATCCGTTCCCTGTAGCTCACTTCTGAGCAGTGAGTTTAAGCAGCGTCAAAAAGATTGAGATGGAAGCTTGAAGGCTTCCCTCTTACCAGCTGAATCTGCTGCAGATGTTCCACCACTGGTCAAGTCCTCGGTATTAACTGACTGCAGATCTGTGTAGGAGGGAGCGATGCTTGGGCTGCTGGTGTCCTCCGAGTTGGTTGTCCAGCTGCTGCTCTCCGAGGCATGGGCTCGCCTCTCAGAAGAGTTGGAAGAGGGGGAAGTCCAGCTGGGTGCTTTTGATGGAGACACTGGATGCAGAAAACAGATGGGTATTGGTTAGAGACTTAGAGGGCAATCTTCCAGAAGATCACAACTATTCCTAAGATGCGCTGATGCAGCGTACTGAGACTCTGTAAATATGAATTACAACATCCACAGTAACACAGTCATTTTATAACAAACACACATCAACTTAACTAGTGCCAGGCACTCTCAGCTGTCTGCCTTGGATCCCACACTGCTGGCAGCTGTATGTTTTCCTGTTGTTCAAGTTTTGTCGAAACTGTGACTTTTCAGAGCAGGAAGATTTCATGTTTCTGCCACTGCTGACAAGATCTGAATATCTGTGTTGTGCAACACAGAGGAGATTTTATAGTGCCACAGATTTTTATGAAGTGCTTTTATTATATTTAATTAAGCATCCTCTCTCTGTGACACCCACTCAAATGTAGTCGTCATCTTAGGAATGCGCGGCATGGGAGGAGTGTAAAAATAAACTGGAATTGACCTATTGATGTGCACTAGAAATGGCTTTTGTGTCTGGACATGCATGGATGGCCCCAATCTGAATAAACTGCATAACATTTCTGTTCAGTTTAGGCCAAAAATGCTGTTCTACTCGCCAGATTTGCATGTCAAACGTAAGTCCTGCCTAACCATCATTCAGAGTTAGAACACAATCACATACATCCACCGCTATGGATGTGTATGGTATACTCTGTGGATTGTATATTCTTTGCCCACAATATCACTCAAATGTCGGGAACAATGGGTGACTCCAGTGAGGAAATAAATAATAATTAAAAAAAAAGGCAGTAAAAAAAGTCTTCTTGAACTAAGGAAATATATATTGGTAGGGACTAATTCTAATTTAACGTCAGCATAATAACTGTTTTCTAAGCTAGTACATCCATGTTGATCTTTTAAACCAACAAAGATCTCAATGCACCCCAAAATTTGCAGCTACAGAACAACCGGTAACACAAGAGATTCTCTTCTCCATGTATAATACATCAACAACCCTTACTAGGCTGACAGATACTTTTGAAGAAAGTGGCAAATTAACGCTAAAGATAATTTATCTCTCTCTGCTTCATCAAAGCAGTGTGATGGGACACCATTTACGCTACAGAAATCTCACTGTGTGCACAGAGGGACTATCCAAACAGTGCTCCCTGCCCTGCCGGCTCAGAAGTGCAGATTTATTTTGCATAGTTCCACTGTTACCCTCAGGTGAGCAGACACTAATATATTTATATGTGCACTGCTGTGAGCCTATGGACTGAGCTGCTTCCGAGCAGAGCCATCCCTAAGGATGAGGAGCTGAGAGTCAGGAGATCTGTCTCCTTATTACACATGTAGACAACTGTGTTAGAGTGACACAACCACAGAACCCCACTTCTCTCTCCAGTAATTCTTCACTGTGTTGTGCTCAACGCCTGGAGAGAAAGGATGACAAGTGTATGATTATGATCTGTCAGTCCCTCTCCCAGCCCTTTTGTTAAACATGGCATAAGGCATCTGAAAAACCACCTGTAAAACTTCACCTGAAATTGCTTTGACAGACAGAGTGCCCAATTTGGACACAGAGGACAAGCTGAAAAGCTGAGCTCCATATGTGAACCAGAAGCAAGAGTCAAGGAAGGTTTTTTTTTTAAGCATGTTGTAGATCTGGAATTCTAGAAATTGTGGAAATAATTTTCAAAAAAGACCTTAGATTTGAAGTTTTTATTTTTTTGTTTAAAGTCAGTCACAGCAATATGAAAAACAAACTAATTTAGAAACCCATAACATTTAGTAACTCATACAGTCAACTTGTTCTGTGCTTTCCAAAAACAATGTTTGTCTTAGAGGGAAAGTGACAGCAATAGTGTTGCCAAATACTTCCATATAAGGGCAAATTAATTTTATTACAGATATGTTGTGCCACTTTGGAAGAATATAATTGGTTTTTTTCCTAAAGAAAGAGACTTGTACTTTGGAAAACTGTAACCATACAGAGCTTCTCTGCAACAGATGTTCTTTAAAGTCTAATTACAGTCAGCGTTCCCCTGTGGCTGTTCTAGGCTCCCCAACACTAACCCTTTGAACTAGTCAAAGTCAAACAGCGATCTATCAATCTCAAAAAGAAAGACAAGCAAAAGTAAACATCTACACGTGTTTAGGTCCCTCTTCAAATGCTCCTTCTGCTCTCCAGATTCCTGGAATCTTCAAATGCTCCTTCTGCTCTCCAGATTCCAGATGCTGAAATCAAATTCCTAAATGAAGTATGTTTTTTTTTTTCCCTAGAAATTTGGAATTTGGTCTCTAATGTCAATAGATGCAGAATCACAGCCATTCAGCTGCAGGAATTTCTCAGAAATCTATTTATGTTGAAATACCAGTGCCAAAACTGTCCCTAACACGCAAATCCTGTAGCACGTGTAAGATACTGAAAACCAACTTATTGTTTCCCAAACTGAAAATTGTTTCCTTCCACATGCATTTAGCTTTTTTAATGTGTTTGTTCCTGATACAATGGATTAGCTTTTAATATGCAGATTTACCTTTAAACATTCATTTCTCTTTGATGGTTTGAGGGCCTGTTCCTTGATCCCTGCACAATATTACAGTCAACATTGTTAGCATCTTTTCCTTTCCTACCACACAGGACCTCAGATTTCTCTGATTTTAGGACAGCATCACAGTCGGTCTAGTTTTCAGCTGCTGATCTCATGTTGTTCGTACTTCCTATTTTCAGACAGAACAGCACAAAATGGTTAAACTGAGATTTGCCTTACTGTGGGAGAGTCTCTCAAGGGATGTGGTAGGAGTCCAAGTTACTTGAGCCATTTAAAACCAGACAAAGCTCTCGGGAAGAAGCGAGGGGGGTTGGGGGGGATGTGTGTGTAGAACAGATGATGTAACAGATCTTGCCATGCTCTAATTTTGGCGCTTTGCTGAATACCTCATTGAATTCAAGAGTGTAGCTCACATCGATAGAATAGGAGATTGCAGGCTGGGGGCCCATCGTGTAACAAATGCAAATGTTATGTCACTGGCTGGCTGTGATCACTTACAGATTATATAACATTTGTCACAGGAACATTTGGGTGAGTCTAAAAATCGCATTTTTCACTTCTGCACTTTATCAGTCTGACTAGCCTGACAGCAACAATGAGAAAAATCAAATTTCTTCTTTTCCCAGCAGAAGGAAAAAGAGGAAGAGGGCATCACAATGCATCATATCTGTGACTAAATATTTCTGTGGCCTCGCTCAAGAGTTACTGCTTCCCACGGAGAAATTCACATCATTTGGCAGCTGTCAGTTATCTCTGCATAAACCTGAAAAGCAGAAGTATTTTGAAAGAAAGACTTTGCCTACCATTTACGCTGTCTAAACCAGTTAGACTGAAGGGGTTACAAGAACGTCCTAAGTAAAGATAATTTCCACTCTGAGGCTCACAGAGGGTGCTTTTAGTTTCAGGTTTTGACCTTTCTTCTCTCCTTCCAAATTCTTTGCCTGTGTTTTCAGCCCTGCTTCTTGCTATCAGTCCTCCTAATTGCTGCTCCCCCAATAATGTCTTCACTTTTCCCAGGACAACAAGGGTCCAGCGTTAGCCTTGGTTTTCTTTTAAATTTATTTCATATAGGATAACCACCGCATGGCAGTTGGCTTTAAGTTATTATTTTCTAGAACGTGAGCACTTTGAGACAAAGATTTGCATTTGGGAAAACCTGTGCAAAAATACTGGTGAGAGGAAGACAGCATCTCTCTCTCCTAGGGCTCACCCTCTCCGCTCTCGTGGCACTCTGGAAACGCTACTTTTGCGAGCCCTTTTTGAAATGTGTTTGCAGGCAGCCTGGCCATCAACCTGGGTAATTAAGCAGTCAGCTGTGCAGCTGCTTCAGCAGGGACAGACAGAGAGACGATTTCCTAGCAGCGCTGGGGACCCGACAGGAACGTGGCTGGGGGTGCTGAGCCTTCAGGACGTTGCTGGTCATGGCTGCCTGAGCAGGAAACACATTTCAAATGTCTCCGTCCTCCTCACACCGATCTGCCTGTCCATGCTTGGCCTTTATACCTCCCCCCTCCCTATTCTGGCTACTCCCTATTATTCTTATGCAGGCTGTTTGTGACTGGAAATGAATAACCGCTGTCACCGCCGGCTTTCCACTCAGCGTATCCTGGTTGTAACACAAAGTCTCCAGCTTTTCTGCCACCCACCCACAGAAAAAAGAGACGTGACCTGCAGACTAATTGAGAACAACGCTGAAGTTTACCCCACCTCTTTGCTGTTAAATGCTGCTCAGAGGGCAGAGACAAAGAGCTGTCATCTCTTCTGCCCCACAGCCTTCCCTTTAGACACTGTCAGCTGCACTGCTCTGGACGTTTATAATACAGGGTCCAGAACAGGAGTGCTCATAAATAAGGATTTTTAAATATTCACATAGCTCCTTAGGGTCCCTATATAGTTGAAGAATAACAGCCTCCCACACAAGGATTACATGGAGTACAGCCTGATCTGGCTGCCAGGGAACCATCCTCCTACATAAATCTCAGTCAGATGCTAAAAGTGTGTAAACACCCCACCAGTAGCACGGATCACTCAGGACAAGCCTTTACAGGGGCACAAATGGGTGCCTTCTTCACAACTGCAATGCTTTTGCAAAGTCTCTGATCATCTCTTTTGGATATCCTAGACCCCTGCCTACAACAGTGCCCCCTGGGACTGAAAACACACACCAAGCAGCAGTGCTTTTGCTAAGCACATCCCTTAAGACTGGGACACATCCCTTTAAGGATGGGAAATCAAGTAACACACCATGAAGTTAGTTTTATGGAAGTCTCTTTGTTATGGCTAGCTTTATTTAGGCTGAGCAAGGGTTTGTGTTCGATTTTTTTATTAAGAAGGTGCACTTAAGAGTTTTCCAGTCAACAAGGACATCACAATATTAGAAAGGAAATATGGTGAGAGCAACCAAAAGCTCCGAATGAAAAAGTATGTGGCTGTATAAGTAAGGATCACCTAACCATGAAATTAAATAATTGACAGGTAGAGCACCTCAGTTTTATAGATGCACAATTACTGCTCTTCCTCCTCTCCTCATCACCAGGATGAGTTAGGTATTTACAACTAAGAAGAATAACCAACAAATAAATATAAAGATAAGAAGGTTTTAAGCAGAGCTTAAGAGAAACTTCTTTTTGTCAGAAGATTCACCCACTTCTCCTGCACAAAAGTCTAGACACTGTTTCAGAAAGACTAGTCTGTAGCACCCACAAAAAAAGCAGATGGAAAACTGGTGGGTTTTACCCAAAACTCAACCCAAAGTTGCAAATCCAAGTCTTCTGACAGAAGCATTATTCATGCTACAGGGAGTATTTGATGGATTCAGTGAACAGCGTAAAGTTATAACTCTTTAAACTGCTTTAATAACTGGCAGTAACGAAGTGGAACTATTAAGAGAGAAACTCAATTTAAACATGAAAAAGTAAACTGATGTTTTCTTGGGCAACTACTCCAGCTGGGAGGGACAGAATTCTGTTTGTACAGAAAATCCAGCAGCTCATATAGCCGTATCAGTCAGCCAAGCTGAGGAGGAAAGACAGAGCTTTGCATGTGTCAGAAAGAACTTTACCATTTGAAGAAAATTGCATGCAGTCCTGGAATTAGGGTCAGCTTTGGTTGTCTTTATAATTCTCCAGCTGCTAATCATAGCATCAAAGGACAGCAGGAAGTACTGATGGGCAGTGGCACACTAGTTGCTGGTCTCACTAAGCTTCTGGCAGAAACCACACGGGGACTATGAACAGATTACTGTCCACAGGGGACAATAATCACGGTTCATTCAGTTCCAGATTACAGAGGCAAACACAACTTTACAGATGGCTGTTCATACCTGTACGTAAGAAACGTCACTACTTGAAAACACCACTAAGCTCTTTCCCCACGAATGTGTTTTGGCAGTCTCCAGGGTCAAGACATGGGTGGAATGAATCACAGAAGCCCTGCATTTTCATTACATAAAGAAAATACTGCTAGTTCAAGCCAGAACAAAATTATGAGCCATTTTTGAAACTTTGATAACATTAATTGTGCCAAAATGCAGTACAAACTAGTCAAAGTTCAAAATTTGAGAATTCAAAGAGCAAGGAAAAAAACCTGTAGGCTCTGGCTGTATTCTGTTATGTTACTGAACTGGACCTTGTCATGCATTTGCCTCACCTGCTTGTGGGTGGGTCGATGTAGCAGTGGTCCACGGTGCATCTTCAAACTGAACCCAAGCACTGATGGATGACGACAGATCAGCACTGGGACACACATGGTTGCCAAGCACAGCAGAATCCCCCTTGGGGCGGTCAGCTGCATTTTCCAGCTCTGTGTGGGAGAGGTCTTGAAATTCTCCATCCACGTTGTGGTTCTCTTCTGAGGAGGTGTCTGAGGAAGAAAAACATCTCTCCAGAGGCTCCTCAGTTCTACCTAAAATAGAGACAAAATAAAAAGATTGGCAGGACTCACCATTACTTCACTGTTTTTTATTGAAATACCTAAAATTTGCCATTAAACATAGGTAGAAAAAAATCTTCTTTCACCTGGTGTAGTTTTCAGACTAACTCTGGGCACAGTTTTGCACTTGATTATAATAGGTGAGACTTCTTCCGTGGTCAGTTGGATACTGCCTTGAATCTTAAAGGACAGATCCAAACCCTGTAATAGATCTACGCTAAGGAAATCTCGCATTAGGAGAGTACTTTGCATCTTTGGCCCAAATTCTCTTATTACATTGAGGTAACAGAAGATAATTCAATCTCTGCACATGCTGCTTCCACTTAGAAGGCAAGGTCTGTGATGCTAGACATATGACAGTAGTTGGTCTAATTCAAACAAAGGAAGTTCATGAGGGTCAAAGGAAAATCCGAGAGAGCTTACCTCGTGGGTTAACAGGGAGAAGCAGTTCATCAGTGAAGGACACCCACTCGGACTGGTGGGAGGCAATGACACTAGTCAGAGACGTCATATTCGCAGGGGGCTGCTCATCTTCACTTGGGGAGCATGAGAAGGAAGCAGAATGGGAGAGAGGTACGGTGGAGATGAGCCAACAGAGGGAAGCACCTTCTTTGCACTTTCTTTTCTTTTCAAGTGCTGTTAAGATAAGAAAGGAGTAAATGATGTCTTTTAGAAAATTAAATGGGAGAAATGAGTGCTACCATTTTAATAATACAGAATTTTAAACCAATTTATGCACCACAGACACAATACTGTTAAAGTGCTGCCACCCTTGAGACAGGAATGTCACCTGTGTCTAGAGGAGGGCTATGCTCTAGCAACTCCTTCATTAAAGCACCGGAGAGTCTTCAAACATCCTCATGTTAAAACAGTCAACCACCGAAAACAATGTTTTATTCCTTACTCAGGCAGCCATACCTCTCATAAGCAAGAGAGCTGATGAGGGGAATCTCCCAGGTTTAGGAAATTTTGATTATGATGTAACTTAATCCCAAAATGTCAGCATATTCTTGCTCATCTTGCTGCTTACCATGTCTGTTCCCTCTTGAGGGGAAGCAATAAATTGCATGTCTCATTATCAATAACATTATGTAGCAGGTTCTGGGATCAGGATGGGTTGCCCGTGACCCTCCCAATAGTCCGGGTATGAAGAGCTGCCTGCTCAGCCTTTCAGCTCTGCTGCTTGACTGGAACTCACGTTTTGATTTTAAAAACCAACATCTTCAATCTCGTCTGGAGTTAAGTAGGATTTTGCTGTAACCCAGCAAGTGTTTTCACAGCACGGCAACTTTAATTAGGATGCACTCCAATGGAACATTCCCCACACAGATCCGGGAATCTGAGAGAGTGAATGGGGAACTGGAAAGGGCTCTGGGTGCTGGTACTAACTGGGAAGGTCAAGACTGGGGAGAGAAATTCTCTTTGCCAAGCACCCATGACCACCTCAGATTGCAGACCACTTCAAAACCCTCAGAGAACTACTGCCTCCTCCTAGGGCAGCGTGTCAATTTTGTCCCTAATTATTCTCAAGCATTGAAGGTCTTGTTGCCATGGTATTCAAGCACTTGAAAACACTAAAACTCAGACTGGGCTATTTTAAAAAGCTTTAAGTAGCATCTCTTGGGGTGCTGTCTCTCACCTACTGAAGGGGTTTTGGGGGTGAAACTTCATATTGGTGTACAAAACCAGATACTTTACCAGATTTCTCTTTACCCTGCATTAACAACATCTGGGTCCAAAGAGCAAACAGAGAACTAAATGCATTCACTCTTTAAGCGTTCACTAAATGGCTGCCATTATGATTATTCACTGTAGGGCTACAAAGTTATTAGTCTGCTGGAGGCAGGTCAAGAAATAAGAGCTGCATGGAACAGCTGAAAACTTCAAAAAGTTTGGAAGTCCCAAACCAGCCTGACACCCGACAGGAAGAATTCACGGGGCCGTGGTTCATTGAGGATGAACCTTCTCAAGGCTGAACACAAAACGTACCGTTTCCTGCAAATGCAAAAACTAGAATTCCTGCTGACAATCCTGATGGTTAAGCGCAGTTTGCCAGAAGGTTGATGCCCAGGAGAGTCCATGGCCATCGCTGCCAGCCACGCTGTGCACCTCTCTGGTGTCACACCACCGGTGTCCCCATGCCGGAGCTGCAGCCACACTTGAGCCCCAGCCCCTTCCCTCCTCTCCCACAGCAGGACCTCTGCCTCGCACAGCATCCATTTCGGGTGCTATTAATAGAAATCACAAAGCTAAACATAGGAGCAAGCCGAGAGAAAAAGAATACTCAGATGTTTAGGGTCACTTGGACGCCATATGAGGGAAGGAGAGGAAGACCTTGGTATTTTGCTTTCCTCGTGTGAGCAATTAAGTTGTTTGTTTTGGGCTTGTTTAAAAATCTGTAACCAAGTCTTCTTTTCTCAAACAACTGAATACTGACCTCTCATTTCTCCTGGAAAAGTCCTGACGGAAGCATGAAATGGCAGGAAATGAAAAAAGAAAACAGTTTATCTTGCCCTTAATGCACAGAGACTCCAGTAGAGCTCCTTTCTTTTTTTTTTTTTTTAAATGTCAAGGGGAAAAAGCTGTGAAAGAAGGCAAGAAAACGGACTGTTTCAGATGTGGAGATACGTGGGAGGATTATACCATTATTTTAGGATGGATGTGCCCTTTTACCCTACTGCTCCGTGACAAGCATACTTTTCTAAATTCACTCAGTACCAGCCAGTAAAACTTACACACCTTAAAATGGGCAGTGAGTGCTCTGAGCCCAGCAAAGCACCAGAGTAGTGTGCAGCGCACCATCAAGCACATGCCCCAGCTGTACAACTTCCTCAGGGCCAGAATTTCCTACAGAACCTCCCAGTTTGGTAAATAAAGGAGATTGTGTTGACTTATCAGGGTTATCACAAGTTTCAGACAAGCAGCGTGAAAGAGAGGAGAGCTGGCCTGAGGAGATCATAATGTCACAGATTCTCAGCATAGAGGCACTCTGAGGAGGCATATGTTAGGATGAATAACAGTATTAAAAAGACAGAATTGTGCATTCTTTCAACTTTCACAATAAAGCATCAATCCCACCCCCTGACATAACTGCCTGCACAGAATCATGAATCACAGCCAGCTAACTCCTGTGCAGACCCTGTGGGAAAGATACAATTTCATCCCCAAATTATTTTTCCCCTCTCTTCACTTTCCAAAATCTTACTTAAAAGAAAACTTAAGCCAACCCCAGTGCGAACCAAGGAGCCTCAGGCAGCACAATATCAATGCCTTTGTGTGTTCAGTTAACACCACGATGCTGCAATCTGCAGAACCACCACAGAGGTACACGTCTCCAGAGAAACCACTTGACACCAAGGATCAACCTGAATCAGATACATCATGATTCTGGAGCCTACAAGGACTAAGGGAACAAGCGGATCTTCTGTACTCCAAGCAAGTTGCAATTAAAACAGAAGTTTGTGCTGTATAGCCCAAGCAAAAGGAGATGGAAACGCATTTCTTGGAATAAGATATTCTCAAGGCCAGGCCAGCACTAGATCTCTCCACATCAATGGGATTTGTTACTTCTGGATTTGTGCTATTATGTGCATTAAGCTCTTTGGTGCTGAATTGGTTAAAAAAAAAAAAGTGAACCCACTTATCAGTTTTTTTTTTTTTGGAAAAAAACTGCAAATCAAAAGTTTGTTGCTATTATACAGTAAAAACAAGGTAAAGCAGGTATTATACACACTGAGCCCAATGATCCTCACCATCAATTCCAGGACAGTGTTTTGACCTTGAGGCAACAAAACTCTAAGAAGCTGCAACTTCTGCTTCAGGTGTCCCTTTTTTCCAGTACAGTTTTGCAGTTGGACATGTAAATCTGAGTGACAAGTGGGCGACAGTTATTTCCAGTTCTCCAAAGGGCAGAGATGATACAGCTGGAACAAAACTCCTTGCCTGTTTAGTCCTCCTAATGTTTTGACCAATCACATTACATAACCCCGTTTTAAGAGTGATGGAGGTTCATTCTAAAATGACAAAACTGCTTTGATAACTAGAAACCTTCTCTCATTTCAAATCCACGTAGAATCATGGTTTATCACCATTTCTTTTTGTGACACACTTACGTACCTGCCCTTTTGTACAACTCCACTCCAGCAACAGATGAAAAGAAGTATCATCATCCTTCGCCCTTTATTTTACTAAGCCAAAAACATGTGTTTTGAGCAACTGACATAAATATCTTGTGCCAGAAGTCCCACACCCAGCACCTTGTACCAGGAGCCCTCACTTGAGGTGGGACTTTTTACACCCCACATGAGCACAACCACCACCAGCAGTAATGCTTCGTAGCACTATTGAGACATTTCAGAAGTATCTGCAAGGGAATGGTGCTTTTGTAAACACAGCAGCCAAAATATTTAATTACTCATGTGTTTGGACAGCAAGCTCCAACATTGTTTCTTGGTGCATTTCAACTCCACGCAGAAGAAACAGGGCAGTTAATCATTTTAAGCACTGAGGGTCATTTCTCTAATTGCTTTAAGTTACATCCATTGGATGCACGCTGCAGTAGGCTTTACCACCACTACCCAGTTGGTGGTAAAAACTACCCTGTTTTGACCCAGAGACTACAGTTACATGGAAGAACAGAAGGAGAAAAAAAAAAAAAAAGAATATAAATTGAGAGGATTAAATTCAGGTTATGTTTTGTACCACTGAAAAAAAATCATCCCATAATCCAAACAGTGATACTGTTTTTCTTGCTTAAACATTCCCTTACAATCCCAGGGATCTAAACATTAATTAGTTACTGTACTTTGCATTTGATTACTGCAGGAGACCACGGAAGGAAAAACAACTAGACAAGCTGTTAAGTTCCACGCAGCAGAAAAAGAAACTAAGCCAAAGGGACCATAAATAAAAAGGAAGGAATGACCGTGGCTTTTGTTGTAACAATCAAGTTTCACTAACACCAGGAAAGTCTCAAGGAAAAATATGTAATTTTATCTTGACCACGTGTTTGGCAAACCTGGAGAGACGAAACAATTCTAGTAGCATGGACTGAGGAGCGATCGCTGCCTCGGGCACGCTTCCAAGTGAGAGAGAGAGAGCTCAGGGCTCTTCCTCTCCACTTGGCCTGCAACAAGCACCGGCCACCGGCAGCACATCGTGACCTGAATAACAAACAAACCCCAAATTGGAAATCTGTTCTCAAGCATTAAAAGAAAGTCCCAAGTACTTCAGGGTGCCACGGCAAAAACAAAACACAGTGACAAATGACAGGAAAAAAAAAAATAAATCCCCAAAACTTGAGAAACCCAATGAAATTAAGGAACTGGATTTGGATTTCATTATTATTACTTAAAAAATCATTGCACCAGACTCTGCCTAAATGCCTGAGCTAAAATTACCTTACAAATGACCTAGATGATGGCAGGAATAAAGTCATATTTAGTCATTTGATTATTGCCTCCTTAATATTGACAATCCCATTTTCTCCATGTAGTCAGCTCCCCCAGCTTATAAATTGCCCCGAGAAAACCTCTGGGAACAGCAGGTTTTAGAACTTACATCAGCTTTACTTATTCTGATCCATACGTGATGTTACGTGAGCTCCATGACTTCAAACAGAGCTTAAGAACCTCAGT